CATTATGGTTCTACATATAATTTGATACTCTTAAGTAGTTTTGAATGTTTTCTGTCTGGTCCTGTAACGCTAAATTCATTTAATTAGGTTTACATGTCTTTCTTTTGTTTCGGTATTTTCTGCATGCGAGTACATATTAGGCGACGATTTAAATATCGTGCATCCATTATTAATATCTAAGCAATCGAGTCATTGCAGACACACATACCATAATTATAATTTTCTTCTACTAATGAATTCTTAAGTTTTAGCTGCGAAACAAATAACATAGGAAAGGATTAGACCAATAATGCCATAAAACGATTTGTACGCAAATTAAGTTTAGTTAATTAAATTTAGTTTAATTATTTTTACGAATTAAAGTATTTAAATTAAGGTAAACATTTACAGAAACTAGTAAGAAAAATGCTTAACCCTTAATACTACGGACATTGAAATTTTGGAACTTACAAACACCGAGAACACATAAATGCGATGGAAAGTGCGGAGCCTGAACAAACAATGACAAGTGAATTGAACAATGTATATAGTAAATACGATTTATGTACAAATGCAACAATAAAACTTCATTTTTGGAGGCTGCCGAGGAATCGTGTTATTCGTGTATGACACGCAGTCACGTGTTGAAGTAATGGCACGATATTTTCAAATTGTTATGCGACGAGTTCGTCAAACGAGTACACTCGACGTAGAAAATGAAAATCGGTTAAGCGACCTATTATTTTATCGACTCTGTATGCGCCTATGCACACGGCGAAGATGGAACGTGAGGAAAAATGTATACAATAGCCGACGAGTTGCTTGTCATTATTGAAAAATAGTATTACGTGGCAGCGAACTCGCGTGTGAAATCGTCACGTCGAACGGCTCGCGTTCGAGGTATCCTTGTTCGATATCGAATCAAGTCGTGTTTCGAGAAAGATGGCAAAGAGTTGGATTACACAACTGTTCCGACAACTGCAATACAGTCGGAGCAACCTTGATACTAATATGCAATTCGTTTAAAATATCCTATTTCCCCACTGCCAAGGCAGAATTTCTTACTGTGAACAAATCGCATCCGCAATCAATATCTCGTTGTCATTTGCAAATTGAAAATTACGGACTATTGTTATCGTTAAGCGCATCATTTCTATTCTTCCGTCTTAAATTGTAATTTAACACCTAAATGCATGTCTTTTGGCAAAGATAATAAAATATTTAAGTAATTGTTAACATTTAAATGTTTCATTTTATTTTAATACATTTGACACAATTTAAAATACGTGAAAAATTGTTATTTCATACTTACTTACTAGCTACATTAGAAACAATAACTACGTTGTCAAATGGTTATACTTTGGAATTTAGAGTATAGATAGCTCATTTGAGCAGAGGATAGGATTATTTATTAGCTTGATTTAACTGAAATGATAATATGTAAAATGTTAATATTTATTAACTTGGCTATTCAACTGAAATGATATTATGTAAAATGTTAATATTTATTGACTTGACTATTTAACTGAAATGATAATACGTAAATTGTTAATATTTATTAAAGTAACTTTTAATTTCTTAGATGTTTTTCTACATTCTGTTATTTTGATAGATATTTTAATAGCAATGCGTGTATTGCTAAAGTATACAACAGATACTTTAAAATCTATTATTATTAAAAGTTGTACGAATTAATTTCTTCAGATAAATAAAAATATTCCACAGTTTTTAATGTTTGACAAAGTTATAGCGTTGACAAAGTTAACATTTATTATAAAATAATTGATTAAAGTAATTACAAGATTCTGCAGTTTCTTTGTTCGTTTCCTTCATTTTTCTTCGGCAATCGTTGCTGTGATTATTCATTCCTATAAATTCTTCCGATTCCGTCTAGCATAGTTTCATAAAAAGTTAATTGACTTGCACGTGATTGTACGTGATACGGTTGGCAAAGTACTTGAGAGTCGTAAACCTGGGTGTCGATTTACACAAAGGGCACAATTTCCGAAATGTTATTTGAAAATCATAAATTCCAAGCAACATGATCGATTTATTATTCATGCTACACCTGTCGAATCATATATGAATAACGTCGACCCAATTTGTTTTGCTTCGAAGAAATCATAACGTCGCCGATAAACGTTGTTGGGAATCGGTGTAATTCGAGCTAACGGAAACGTTTATTTTTACCTTTACAGCGGTCATATGGCAAACACATTTTATCGCTAAACCCACACAATAAACATACTCGTTATTTACTTTATTTTCTCCAACAACGTTATAACCCAATAATCTTGGTTTTAGAGAAATGCGGTTTGAATGTTCTAATAACAAAAAGTTAAAATGCAAAACTTGGTAAGATGCCGAATCAGTATAGAAACATAAGATAATTACTCGACTGCATGCCAAATGCAAGAAAATACGTAAAATAAGAAGACCTAATAGCATTTCTATTTACTTGTTACAATGAGTAATCTGTTAGTCGACAGAGAGAATGTCTCCATAATTCTGATTTTCGCGAAATGTCGTGAAAAATTTGCATAAAATCAAAATCATTTAAATAACGAAACCAAAACAAGATAATTAAAATCTACCATCGTAACTGCTAGTTTAACCCTTTGCACTCGAATGACGACTCTGAGGCGCCACTAAATATTGGTATACTATTTTTCAGAATCATTCTAAGAGCATCAGATTCGTTTATATCTAAAAAAAACTATTAAAATTGCATTGTACTTGCCAACAGACTCAATTTCATATGCATAAATTGCAATAAATTATATAAAATAGAAATACTGTAGATCAGAGATCATGTTTTCGATTTCGAATTCAAATAGCTTCGACTGCAAAGGGTTAATACGTTGAACTCTAAAAAATATCAACAACCTTCAATTTGTTTGAATACATATAATCGCGCAATAAAAATATATTTCAAAATCTAATTCAAGATTATGCACTCGATGTGTCAATGCGTCAATAAAAATTAATATTTCCGGAAAATATCTCTCAAAATCTCTTAAAATTTTAACTCTGTTAGATAACTAGATGACGCTTTCTTAATCAATTACATGAAAAAAAACATCTCTAACTTGGTTAGAGATTGAAATAAATTCTTTCGCAGACGCCGACCGTAAGAAAATCCACTGGAAGAAGTGAATTTTTCTTAATTTCTAGATCAGGATGCAGTAAATTAACGCTCAGTTTGTACACAAAAATAGACAATTTGAGAAGAGGAGATACGATTATTCGAGTCTCGAGGCTCATTTTTGTAATTGTTAATAATCGGTAACTATGAAAACGAGCCTCAAGGCTCGAATAATCGCACCGTTTCATCCTAAATTGTCCATTTCTGCTTCCAAGCTGAGCGTTAATTAAGGAAAATTTACTGTACCAAGTTAACTGGACATCGATACGAATGGAATTGAATTCGTCGGATATGAATGCGAATAATCTGCTGAACGGCCACGGGTTGAAATCTACCGTTGCTACCATTGTGTGATCAATACTCTCTGACTGGTCTACAGTTCGCCACAGAGATCTACACTCTCCGGTTAGTCCCTCGCCCTCACGCGGAGGAGGAGGAGGAGAAGGAGGAGGAGGAGGAGGAGGAGGAGGAGGAGGAGGAGGAAGAGAGGGTGCGCGCTCTGGTGCGCAAAATCCACATTCCACTACTGCTATTGAACGGTAACGATTTTATCGTTGTCCGCAGACTTTTCCTTTTTTTTCACGGAAAAGCGACTATCTCGTGCTTGGATAACAACACGTAAACGTGATTCAGGAAAGCAAGTAACATTCTACAACGAATGTTCACTTTTCTCAGAATTTTATTTGAATGATATCAAACTCGTGGTTTTCACGTTTTTATGAATAAGGTAGCAGCAATGTTTCATTGAAGAATGTTATCGATCGACAATAACCAGCGAACATGCTTCAAGGAAATGAAAGAAGATGGCGGATTTTGTTGCCAATCTAGATCTTCGGGTAGGTCTCGCTCGAATAAACTTTCCTAAAGCGAGTACGAGCCTAGAAATGTTTTTCCGTCGTCCTAACATGACTTTGTTGCAAAACAAATCACTTTTCGCGTCCTCTTTCCGTGTTGTCTTTACTACGTTTAAGCTACAATTTTAAGCAAAACGCTGCTGAACGCGACTTTAGAATGTTTAAAAAATGTTCAGTAATTTTTAGGATGGAAAATAATAAATGGTTTAAACGTAACAGTCGTTTGAAGCTATTGCCGTTAAAATTGTAAGCGGTATGTACAGAAAGGATTATTATTTTAAAAAATAAAGATTTACGACGTAACTTTCTAAATAAGTGTTTACAATTTATCAAGATAAATATTTGGATTTGTAATTGAATGGGAACCTTTAAATAAGTGTGCGTTCAGTTAACAGTATGTATATGTAGTATGACTCTACTACAGTCTCTATAGATAATTTTCGTGTACATTAGTTGTAAATATTGCAACATGGACCCTTATTAGAGATTTCCATTTATTTGTTACTTGCCTTATCTTCATCACATTTTCTGTAGAACGCAAAACACTGATTGTTTTCAGTAGTATAGCCATGCAATGATCGGACAAGAAACCGTAAAAATCACAGTAATCTCGTTTGGGTCTTAGGAAAACAGCCAAAGGTACAGCGCGATACGTGCAGTGGACTTTTCAATGCAAGTAAATGTGATAAACGAATTGCATATGTAAAATTATATGTATAAAAAAATGTGAATATCTTTCACAAAAAGAATAAATTCATTTAATTCATGGCTCACGAATGTGAACACCATTAATGTTGCGTAACACGAGAGAAACTTGTCATTTCTGTTGCAATTATTTTATCATGCGGTAAATATATGTATATTTGCGTTCCGAGATCTAGTTGGCCCGTAAGTCTCAAATTAACGCTATCATACGAACCAAAATCTTCAAGAAATCGTGAGTTAATCTAATCTTTTACTATACCAAAACTTAGAAAGAAGCCTAAAAATCAATACCCAAAATACAAATTGTCAATATTTTTTGAGATAATAAGACATTTTATTTATTTCAGTTCACACCACAGCCACAAACTACTTCATCATCTTATTTCAAATTATCAGAATGGCTAGAATGGTGTCAGTTGGTAAGACACTTTTTTTAAAACACACAAAGAAGTACTACTTACATAACTTTTACTGTTTCTTACTCCAACCGTAATCTTTCCGATTTTAATCGTTTTCAAATTTCCATTGGACTTTCGCAGGCTTAATCCAGCGCCGATCCACTCTAAAACGGACTGTTTAATAATAAATAGTGGAAATGCAGTGAGAGAGAGAGAGAGAGAGAGAGTGAACCGAATGACGCCTTAATTTGTTATCGTAATCTTTGGGAACGATGCCGCTGCGCCGAAAAGAAAACATTGTAAACGCGATTAAAATACTCCGGGGCGTGATTATCGATAATTAAACAATCGGTGTTTCCGTAGTTGTTAGAGACAGAACAAAGATAATCACGCGAGAATCAAATGTTTATCCTAGCTGCCGGCTTCTTTTAGTCTCGTTCGGTCGGTGTTCCACAAGGAACGAAATTTACAACCGACGTAAATTAAGAGGTCATTTGAATTGTACTGTTAACACGCACAAGTTAACACCACAACATCAAAGTCGCTTAATTGGTAAAACCGAAAAGAGAAAATTAAAATTTACCAAACGAAATATTAATTCGCTTTTGTATGCCAAAAATCCCAATAACATTCGGTTTGTTTAACATGTTATATTCAAAAAGATATTCAAAATCTAGTTAAAAATTAGTATCACTCATCTATACTCTTATCGGAAAGTGATTTTTCTAAAGCAGATTTCTATTTGTTAAACATATCTTCAAAAACATTCTTAAAAACAATTTTGGATTTCTAAAATTTAGACAATAAATAAAGGCAATAACAAAGGCGAGTTTCAGTCGTACAATAAAGTCGTAACAAATTAAAATCTTTTTGGTTGAAAGCATTCGATTAATTCTACTTGAACTAGTTGATATAGGTTTAAGGAATTAAATGCTGTATAATACTATGATACACAATTGTACTAACCCTTAACTGATATACTGGGAGTCATGAGTGATATCAACATTCATTCTGTAGTCAAAGCTTAAATTTGACGTCGTTATTATTCCATAAAATACAAAAAACCGTTCATCTAGAATTTGATTAACACAACTTGTTACAATAATTAATATGAAAGTCATTATATCAGTTATGGGTGGAGATTATTAGTTAAATAATTTTACGTATTGCATGGATAGAAATTGTCACAACTATTTAATTATATTTAAACCCTTTGCGGTCGGAGCCGCTCGACGAGCGAACATCGCTGTGGACGAGAGGTATCGGAGCCAGATCTAAATGGTATTTTTTCCTCCATTCGCTATCACGACTGTTATTACTTTCCCGAATATTTATTTCTTCACCACTGCTCCTATCACTGCCAATATTGAAACATCTGAATGGATTCCTTGTTGTACGGATTTCACTTTCACTGAATGAAGCAACGTCGTCTTCTTCCGTCTTGTCGGATTCAAAATAATATTCTTCATCTGTACTGTCACAGTCGAACGCATCCTTTCTCAATCTTTTAACCATCGTGGAGCGAATATTATAGAATATAAAATGTACGAAAAGTTTGTTTCGTCACTTTTACTCAATGTATAGTAAGTAGTATGCAATGCGCATTCTTGTGTATGTTTTACAACACGTTATGCAATTTCGGTGAAACAGAGATATTGGCATTTTCAGTTGCACATTAATAACGCAAAAATATTAACACCAAACCTACCCCACCGCCGATTAAGTAACCAGTTTCACATTCTTTATTTCATAATTATGGAAGTCATAAAGCTGCTTCCATTAAAAATTGTTGAATATATTTCTTTGCTCAGGTACACATTACCATAAAAATTGTGAAAAATGTGAACAAATTCTATCTTGTAATTCTTATGAGCCATGTTTTGTTAGTCGCTTTTAGACCTCGATAGGTTTAGTGATAAATTGCTACTTTGCAAATATAGTTAAATGACAATATTATCAAATGCAAGAATTGTGTTTTTGTTTCATGTCAATGTAAGGAATCTTTCAATGAAACGAAAGGAAAGCTTCTTGCTTTAGTTGTTACATAATTATCTGAATGAGACGGTGACACATGGAACAGAAGAAACACATGAGAAGAATTGAAGATCAGTTGTATGATATTTGCTACCAATTACGATTATTAAAAAAAGAAACGAATTTCTATATAACTCCTGTTTTTTGTAAATGAGATAAATTATTTTTATTTGGCACAAGGATTCGCAGTCTGACCATTACTTTACATTATTAAAAAATTACAACTATTATAAAATATTTCTTTCATGGACTAAAAAATTCTGTCTACTCAAAACAAAAAAATACAAACGATACGAATTTTCACTAATATACGCGTTTTTGTTGTATTTGAATCATAGGTAAATCATTTGAGTTTATTATGTCCATTGGATTTATTAAGTAAACAAGCAAGGGTGAAATGCAAGAGTGTAGAATTACAAATAATTAATCCTTTATATGTTCATCATTTTAAAACTAATGATTATGATTATGTTCAATGTTTAATTTTCTAAAAAGAAAAAATTAAATCTGCGTTACTTGGGAAATTACTTTGTACGTAAAGGCTACTGACATATGGTAATTGGCCTTTGATTACTTCAGAAGGATGGGGACAGCAAATCTCCATAAAGTAAATAGGTAATCGTTTCACATAAATTGAATTGAGCATAAATATTATGCAGTACTGTGTTGAAAGCTTGCTAAAACAATCATTCTATATTATACGCACTTCCGGAAAACTTTTGCATGTTCCTCGTACGTTTCTAGTGGAGTAGAGAAATGAGATACGATTTTTCAAATAATACAATAAACAACACGACAAAGCCTATTACATATACAACGATCAACTTTCTACACCCATTATCTCTTTTATGCTTAAAAATTCGTTCAACGATGTACAATAGTATTCCCACTATCAAGTAGCAGACGACGGGAGGAATGATTTCCCGGAATCATTATCGCAAAGCTTTCTTGTAACTAAGGGTAACCGACCGTCGAACTTTGACACGGCAAAGGGGACAACACAGTTCACATACCACCAGTAATTACCTTCTCGTGTAAACAGCAACTGCGATATACCCCCGCCCTTATCGGTCGGGAAGCTTAGTCGAAAGAACGTTTACTGCAGCCACAGATGGAAAACATACACTCCGACTCACTTGATCATTTCAGCCCCCCGCCCCCCCTTAACCCCTTACTTTCCACCGATTTCACAGAAATCAGATTGTAGTAATGAAACGGTAACGATTGAAACGTTGTGATCCGTGATACTACCAACACTTTCGAAGCTGCGAACTATGCGGCTCTCGCGCGGGGATATTATGCGACGCGAGGACTACGCGGACTAGAACTTGTGGAATTTTGACTTCGAAAGGTATCGATTTTTATCGGACAGGTTCACCTTTCGAAGTAAAAACCCATGCGCCGTGGCCGATGACCAGGCTTGCAATGAACATATGATTCGCACGTAGGAACCGATGCCCTCAACGCCCGCTGTATCATTGGCTATACATAGAAACCGTCGCGACGCGCAGACGCCGGGCGTCGCTACCCTTTTGCTATAGTACGATAAACAATTTCGGCTTTCCCTTTCCATCACAAAATCGAAAAAGAAGTTATCGTCGTTCGTCTGGACCTCGCAAAGAAGACAAACAGTGAGTTACCGTTTTAAAGGTGCAAATACACTAGCAAGTGACTCGCGACATTTTTCGCGAGAACTCGCAAAAGTGGGGGGAAACTTGTTAGTGAATATTGTAATAATTCGTGAGAGTGGTCTTTTTGTTATTCGGATTGCGAACTCTGGAGAAAACCGTTCAGTTTTGTTAGTTTTGTCGATCGATCGAAATGTTTGTTCGATGAGCTGAACGTACTGACGAGTATGTGATATACTTATTTGAGAATTAAAGAAAGTAGAAAATCTGAGTGAGAGATTTGGTAGCCTTAATTACTTTCAGAATAACTTTCATTCTGTTTATGATAAAGCACGAAACGGAGAGGGTTTTTTTTGGCAAAACGACGATCTTAACAAGTGTAATGTATGAATTAGTATCCCTCTTTTTTAAACATTTCATACTTATCCAAGTATGAAATACCTTATATGAATGTATATTGTATATGAATATGTACATCGTTTTTCATCACAGTAAATATATATACTTTTAATTATCGCACAATTCTCGTCGTATGTAGTTGAATTTAAAATAATCTTATTGCATTAAAATTGAACTAAAACTTTGTTCTTATTATCATCATTATTATTATTAATATTATTATTGCTATTGTTATTACTATTATTACTATTATTATTACTATTATCTTACCGAACTTTTTTTTTACACATCTTTTTCATTACATTTGCTATCTTTGTTTGTGTATTTGTTGTCGTTGCTCTAACATAAACAAACGGCGTAAAAACGGCATCAAGTGTCAAACGACGGTCAAGTCAGACCTCGAGCTCTGGGTCCAAAAGAACTAGGATGTGGTACGGCGAGAGTTTACCCTTAGTACTTGACTCCATTTTAACTCTGAATCCAAGATAATTTGTTTTAACCAATTTCTTTTTTATTTCCATTTTAAATGACTCAGTGCATTTTGATCGTATGGAACGGAGTCTTGTAGCTCATACAACAGTTACACTTCCAACAGTTTTTCGAATATAAACAAATTGAATAATTTAAAAATTAATTTGGAACGTGATAGAATAATTTTTTTTAGTGGCGCCACAGACTCACCACTTGAATACAAAGGGTTAATGCTATCCTGCTCAAAAAGTTCGTAGAATGATTTCCTCGCTGTTATCTCAGCGACGCACGGTGATGAATCAAGAACACGCCTCGTATTTTTTGCTCCATTTCGAGGTCCACAAATCCCATTAAATGTTACCCTTTGTTCTACATAATTATCCAAATCCTGCCATTTTCAAAAGGTTACTGAAACTGTGCGCTATCATAGCATTCGATGTCACTATCACCATATTCACTCGCAATATAGTAGCATTAACAAAATCGTCAATAGAATTCTCACTATTACTTTCGCTTTCGCCGAATGATCTTTCATTCGAATCGTTAACTTCTAACAAATCTTCGAACCCCGATCACCGCTGTTTCGATCTGTTTCTTAACAAAATGTGATATCTTATCTGTCATTGTGTATACACTATGCACATACATTCTTAAGTGAGTGATCCAAGCGGTTCCTGTTACGAAATCGCTGTTTATATAAACAATGAAACGCCAGACGTAATCTGTTGCATAGTACCGAATTCAATACGGACCCGGGCGACGTGTGAAAAACGTAGGGTTCGCATGCGATACGGAGCTAGTCGCCGAAAGGTTAAAAAAATGCCTTAGAACGATTTGTTGTCTTTAAATTGTGTATTTAATCAAACAAATAATAGAAATAATTTCGATCGTCTTAAATCAATAAAATATCCTACTGTACAACGCTACTGTACAATGCCTAATCCTACTGTACAATGATCTGGCGGATAAAGGTTAACAGTTTATGGTATTATTTTATTATTTACTAAATTTATGTGTCCACGATGAAGCGTTCATTTATGACAACGACAATAGCATGCCTCTGTT